TCTTTCTTTCTTTCTTTCTTTCTTTCTTTCCTTCTTGTGCATTTCTGGGGTCTTGGAATATGGGTAAATTCCACCCATAGGCCCTGTTGGAGATACAGAGCAGCCAGTCTTCTCTGGCTGTGAATATACTTCCTCTGTGGCCAAGTTCACAGCAAGGGGAGAATGGTACCTGGTTTCCTTGAGCCCTTCAGGCCAGATCAGCTTGGGAGAAGAGCAGGGGTTGTCCAGTCAACAGAACAGCCGCTCATTGATTGCCTGCTATGTCTATCCCAAAAATGTATCAGTCAGGCTGTTAAAGGACTTTGAGCTCACTTTTATCCTTCAAAATTGTTCCTTTTTGTATCTAATGTAAATTAAGATGAGGAGATCAGACTCATCAGTGGATATTTTTTAAGAGTAAGGATGTACTTTTTTTCATTACTGGCTATCGAAATATGTAAAAATTTGAAAACTTTACATGCGAAGATACCTCTGAAGATAAATTGAAATTCAGTAACCATAAAATTTCTTTCTATGGCTCTTCTGTAACTTAAAAATCTGTATTTGTATTTTCTCCTTCGATATTTTTAAAGGATTCTCAAGATTCTTGTAGAAACCTGGTCCCTGTACAGAAAGTGGTGTACAATGTTCTCAGTGAACTGGAGAAGACATTTAACCTGTCAGTTCTGGAAGCGCTGTTCAGCGATGTCAACTTGCAGGAATACCCTGATTTGATTCACATTTATAAAAGCTTCAAAAATGGTAATTAGGTTCATTATCTACCTTTTGAGTTCCAGGGCCAACATTTTCAGTAATCACATGTTGAGCTCCTACCATGTGTAACACATTGTGTTGGGCAGTAGGGATAGAGTCGTTAACATAACAGACGTGTCACGAGCCTTCTCAAAGCTCATGGTATTTGGCTATGGCAAAACATACTCATGGAGGTGTGCATAACTAGCCACATAGACTCACAGGACATCCAGAGCCGCACTGGTATCAGATTTACTTAGAAGATAAGAAACACAGGACCCCAATGGGGCAGCATCAGTTGCTTCTTCTCTTTAGTGGGAGTCCTTGCATTGGCCTACACAGCAGTCCAGCAAATTGACTACTACCTGCCTTGAGTGACAGCTTAGCTGTGGGTGCAGGATCCACTTTTACTTAGCACCACATGCCTGCGGGAGTCTATATCTCTTGTAACAACTCTGTAGTCATAGCTTTCAGGGTGCCACAGGGAAAACCTGAGTTATAAGAGTTGTCAGTTGAAGGAAGACCACAATCATTCCTTCCCCACAGGTATTTGTAGTTCATATATAGCTCCAGCCAAACAGTGACGGGTCATTTCTAAGCCCAGGGTTTGCGCAGTAACACCAGGAAAAGGCTACCTTTATTAGGTTTCCAGAATAATCAGCAAGAAAATTAACCTTGGGTCTAGTTTGCCTTTAGTGAAGAATAGATGGTTTTGATAACCCTATACACACAAGGGGTAAAAGAAACATTAATCGAATAATCACAAAACTGATTGTTCTCAGAGGGACGATTTTTTGGTGCTATACCAAACTAAAAGTTTGATTCTTGGCTTTTTCCTGAGAAGGCATAATTTATACTATTATAGTGGTACGCAGTAAAGAAGATGCCCTCTATTTTATTTTACTTGCCAGGAAAACTTGTATTCCCCTCACAGATTGATCTCAGCTAAGTTCTCCAAACAAGAGATAGAGACATTACAAGAAAAATGCACCCAGAAGAGGTTGGATGCTATGGGAACAGGAATATAAGTGTGAAAGCATGTTTGCAAAGCAGGACAAACTGGATTTGGTGAAATCCGAGCGTGAGAAGCAGTACAGGAAGAGACTTAAGAGAAATAAACTGGAGGAAGGTATCGAATGGTCTGGAAAAGGGATTTGAAGTCTGTTTGCTGGGCAATAAAGAAATACTACAGACTTATAAACAAGAAAAAAGTTTAAGCAGTTATATATGGTATGGCTTATTGATTTGTGTCAATGCTAACATTATCTAGATTTAAAATAAAATAATTTTTGTCACAAGTCAGAAAGTGAATAAAAGGAAATCAAATACCTGGGCATGAATTTCAAGTCAATATTATCTTTGTAGCCAGGATGGTCCAGGCTGTGGGGATGAGGGAATGGTGCTACCTTTACTGCCTACATTCTCAGAGGCTCTGTTCCTCTCCATGGACTTCGGGGATCCCTCTTCCTATCCCCAGCACCCACAACTCCTGTGTTAGTTTCTGGCACTCCTTATGCGTGGGTGACCCGCACTGAGGCTCACTGTCGCCCGCCTGGGGCAGCACTGGGCACCGCTCCACCCAGCATAGCAGCCTACCCACCCTCAGGGAGATGCTGCTGATTCTCAGACCCTGAAGTCCACACAAGCTGCCCCTGTGTCCTCTGTAATGTTTATTTGGGAACAATTCATCCTCCCTGACCCAATTAAGCCAACATTCTCCTGTTTTCTAGCCCCATTTTTGGCTGTTGGCGTTTTCTCTTTTATATTTGTGTTTTTGGAGACAGGGTCTCATTCTGTTGCCCAGACTGGATGGCAGGCTAGTGAGCTATCTCTACTCACTACAACCTTGACTTCTTGGACTCAAGCAGTCCTCCCACTTCAGCCTTCCAAGTAGCTGGGACCACATGTGCACACAACCACACCTGGCTACTTTTGCTAATTTTTCTCAGACATAAGGCCTTGCTATGTGGTCCAGGCAGGTCTCAAAATCCTCAGCTCAGGTGGTGCTCCTGCATTGGCCTCCCACAATTTTATGATTACAAGTATGAGCCATTGCACTTGACCAGTTTTCTCTTTTATAATGGAGTCTCTCTAGGACCTGAGACCATCTTTCCAGGGAATCCCTTAGTTTCTTCCTTACACTTGATATATGCCTACCCTGCCATCTGACAATTTTGGGGGTAACAAAACTCACGGTATTTCCATTTCTCCTTTATCCTTGAGTATACCTTTTCTGTGTAGGACACATAAAAGCTCATTGTTGAAGTTATCCCTTCTCTGTCCCAGAAGATGATGGGAGGAGTTTAAGTCATGTGTAACCCTGTGAGCTCTCAGTTACCCAAAGGCTGGAAATTCCTAAAAGCCAGTTTCCCAATGTTGTCCCTGGTTCTCGCAGATCTTTAATTGCTTTCTTCTCTCTCCTGCTCTTCAGCAATCCAAGGCATATTATGTTTCCAAGGAAGTGATGGAAAAGAAAAGAAAGAGAGGCCTGACATCCAACTAAGCCTTAAACGAGGTAAAAATGACAGAATTGAAACTGTTTTTTATCTGCTGAGAGGAAAAGGAGATGAGGGAGGTGAGGACCCAAGGTTCTGAGGGGAAACTGTGAATCAGGGAAGACACGTGGAAGGACCTTGGAGAAGTCAAGGAGGGAGTTACATGAGCTCCTAACCAGATGTAGGGTCCTGGAGAGGTGGCCATGACAAGACATCATTGGCTTAATAACCATGAGGGAATCAGAGCCAAGTGTGTCAGTACGCCAGACTTACAGACGTCAACTACCTAGAAGTAATTGTGATTTAGAAAGGTCCCCGTAGGAGGTCAGTATGAAGCTTTGAAGTGTTAAGAACCACAGTCCATGGCCCATGGTCAACATCAAAGAGGAGAGCCTTAGGGGAAGAAAAGCTCCTGTTCTATCTGTACCCTCACATTCTCAATACTTCTGACACCAAACATGTGGAGAATCTCCCCACGCCAAGCAGTTCTCTAGTTCTCTGCAGATTTGTGAGCCCCATCCTTAGGGGCTTTCCAAAAGTTACCGTCTTAACATCAACTCAGGGTTGGTTGAGAGGAGCTTGTTATGAATAACAGGAGGTGCTCTTTTCACTTTTATTACTTAACACATAAGTAATAAAAGTGAAAAGATGATGGTTCAAGGGTTTTTAGTAGCCCTGGACAGGAGCAGGGGATGAAGACTGAAATATATATTTCTTATGATATCACAGGAGACAGTTGGCGATGGCAGAAGAGAGGACCAATTTAAATGAATAGTCAAAGAGAAAGGCAGTCATGTAGAGGGACTCAGAGGGGAAGTGGTGCAGATAAAGACAGAGTGAAAAAGGCATAAAGGACAACAAAAATAACCATGTTATTAACAGCTCACTTTGATTAAATGTCTATTCCATGGCACTTGTGAGTNGACTGAAATATATATTTCTTATGATATCACAGGAGACAGTTGGCGATGGCAGAAGAGAGGACCAATTTAAATGAATAGTCAAAGAGAAAGGCAGTCATGTAGAGGGACTCAGAGGGGAAGTGGTGCAGATGTGGATTGGATATAGAACTTAGAGAGAGAGAGAAGGAAGGAGGAGAAATGAAAGACAGAGTGAAAAAGGCATAAAGGACAACAAAAATAACCATGTTATTAACAGCTCACTTTGATTAAATGTCTATTCCATGGCACTTGTGAGTTGAATGCTCCTGACTGCCATGAGATTTGTATTCCTTCTTGTCCATTTTGCACACAAGAAACTGAAATCTGGACAGACCACTTATGAAGTTTGCCTGGGGTCAAATGAGCAAGGAAGAACCGTCCCCCACCAACCAAGCATTCTAAGCCAGAGCCTTGTTCTCTGTGATACCCAGGGAATCTAATAAAAAAGGCAGAAACATAAAACAAACATGGGAAAATTGATGCAGACAGAAAGATACAGAAAAAAAATAATACCATGACTAGAGGAAGTGGTGGCAACTCAGACGTGGAATCCTCATGGAAAGGCCAACCAGCCTGGGCTCAATGTGAGCTTGGAGGTTTGGGCATGGGTACCAGCTGGAGTATCTATAAATAAGGAAACTGCTGATTTTATATAGAGCTTTAGGAAACATAGTTCAGGCACTACAGACCTTCAGAAACAGGAGTATTTATGAATAGATTAGCATTTAGCTATCAATGCGGGTTTTCTGGAGGGGGCTGCTGCTGATTGGCTGGCCTTCAGATGTGTAGACCTGCCGCTGGTGGGCTAGCTCTCAGAAATGTGGTTAGTGATGTAAGTAGTCAAGGGCCAATTAGGACAAGTTGAAACAGTTATTTCTTCCTATTTTTGAAGAGGATTAGTATTTTCTGGAATGATAAGAGCTTTTTTTTTTTTTCTTTTTTACTCTCAGGACTACAAATAGAAAAATAAAAGCAGAGAAAAGGAGGATGAGGTGAAAACATGGGGAGAACATGGCTCTGTTATGTGTCAGGTGTGATTATTGGAGTAGGTATTTTTTTTCCGAAGAGCACTTCATTTTAGCTCAGAATATTGGCATGCAGCATGACAGCACTGGGAACTCTTCTCTGGTCACTGTCTAGAGGTCAACCAATGAACACAGGTGACCTCTAGAAGCTGAAAAGGCAAGGAACTAGGTTGTCCTCTCCAGACCCCAGAAAGGAATAAAGGCCTACTGACATCATGAGTTTAGGCAGTGAGACCCATGTCACACTTCTCAGTGACATAACTGGAAGATAATAAAATACAATAATAAAAATAAAATAATTGTCTTGTTTTCATTAGTATCTGGTTAACTAGATCACCAAATGGCTAAAGAAGGAGAATCAGAAGAGCTTGCTTCTAGCTTGCTATGATGTGATGTACCAAATAATTATAACTTTAAAATAATCAAAACAGAAACAGAGTTCTGATAAAGAAAAAAAGACAAAAGGGATAAAAAGGGAGACTTAAAGGAAGAGTCAAATATAGGGAGAAGCAGTGAAGGAAGATTTCAAAGGAAAGGTAGAGAAAGGGGTAGCAACCAGAATGCAGAAAAGAGGGTCATTGGGACAAATTAAATGTTCATAAATCACAATTCTGGCCCAGGAGCAGAGAGACCAGCATGTGAAAATGAGAAGGGTTCCTGTGTCATGTGTTTCTCAGAAGAAGTCCCAGAAGGCCCAGAAGCAAGGACGGAAAGTGTCCAAGCATGTGGCCAAATGGGTAAGGCTGCCTGAGGGCCGTGGGGTGGGGTGGCTCATTGGGCCCCGCAGACCCTGGGAAGAGTGGAGGCAGGTGCTCCAGTCTACCCAGTATCCTGTTCTCTGCATTTGCTTCACCCAAGACTTTGGGGAACAGCAGGCAGGCAAGAGATTATCATAAAGTTTTATTTATCAAGATGGGCTATGTTGATTACATGTGGATGATGTCATAGAACGGTGCTCTTTAAAGTGGCAGTTATCTTGTTTATTGCATTAATATGTTAAATCACACTCCATAGTCCATGGAACCCAAGATAGCCCAGTGAACTTCTGCTGGTAGAAAATAGTGTCACTTTGCTACACTCTAGAAAGGCCTTACCCAAAAGACACCTAATCCTGGTACTTAATTGTCAGGAAGGAAGACTGCAGGTCTACTCTTCTTAGCCCAGCACGTATTTTTGATAGAAGATCCACGGCCCATCCTAGACTCCTAGTCCTCAGTTCAATGGGTTTTTGGTTCTTCTAGAAGGATGAGAGGAATGACTTTCCAAACATCTTTATAAACTCAAGCCTTCTATAGTATGAATTGTCCTAAAATCTATAACTTTTGTTTGTTAATTTCTGTTTCCTCACCACCACTTGTTATTTTCTAGATACTGTGGATATTGGAAAAAAATCTGCTTTGGGAAAACCCAAGAGGAAAAGAAGTAAGAATAAATAAGAATGTATTTGCTTTTGGTGTTACAAATACGTTTTTAATGCCAGAGTTTTATTGGTCCCTTCTTCCAAGAAGGAAGGTTGTCTTCTCCAGCCTCCAGAAAGGAATGAAGGCCTACTGACACCTTGACTTTAGACAGGAAGACCCGTGTCATACTTCTGACTGACATGACAGGAAGATGATATATTTGTGTTTCGTTTATACCACTAAATTTGTGTAATTTGTTATGGCAGCAATTAAGAGTAATACAGATTTTGGTACTTGGCAGTGGAGTGTGTCTATAACATATTCCTGAAACTGTGGGAGTGTCTTTGAAATTGGGCAATGGAAAGAGACTGGAAGAATTTTAAATAGTGTGATAGGAAAAACCTATATTAAAAAATGGAAAATAAGTCAATTAATAACCCTACAATGGCCAGTAAGTGCTCAAGTTAAAGGAAGAGTCACATGTATCTCTTTTTAAATAAAAATCTAGAAGTGATGAAGCTTAGTGAGGAAGCCATGTCAAAAGCTGAGATCAGCTGAAAACCAGGCCTCTTGCAGCAAATAATTGGCCAATTTACGAATGCAAAGGAAAAGTTCTTCAAGGAAATTAAAAGTGCTACTCCAGTAGACACTTGAATGATAAAGTGGAACAGTCTTATTGCTGATGTGGAGAAAGCTTGAGTGGTCTAGGTAGAAGATCAAATCAACCACAACATTCTCTTAAGCCAAAGCCTAATCCAGAGTGAGGTCTTAACTCTCTTTACTTTTATGAGGCTATGAGATGTAGGAAGCGTCCTAAGAAAAGTTTGAAGGTAGCAGAGGTTGGTTGAATGAATCTGGGCAAACTTCATTGAAAATCTTCTGAAAGGATTCACCATTTCACTTGCGATTAAGAACATTCATGATTCATGAGAGGGGGTCAAAATATCAACATTAACAGGAATTTGGCAGGTTTAACATCCCAAGGCTAACCCAACATAGCTGGGAAAGTAGATTGAATGAGATGTGTTTTCTGTGCTTCTGAGTGTTCTGTCCCTTAGGCTGTTACTGCTTCATGTTTCCATTATGGCAGGTTTAGAATCTTTAAAAAGAAAAATTGACTTGCTTGCCTCAAACCACAGTGCCCCCTTAACCTCCATTACTTAGTATCTCTTACAGTTTGCTCTGGCTCTCAAATAATGCAAAAATTGATGAGCACTATTCACAGAAAATGGGCACTATCTCTCTCTTTTCCAGCATGTTGCTTTGGAAGGTATCATAGGACAGTGGGAAGAGCACTTGTTTATAGGAATCAAGGTATCTGGGTTCTAGTTCTGCTCAGTCTCAGTAGAGCTGATGTATAACCTTGGTTAAGCCATTTAGCCTCTTTTGATTTCCATTTCCTCATCTGTAAGATAGCGTTAAATGTATGTAAGATTGATTCTGATTCTGAAGTCATAAGTGCTAGCAGAAAAACTCCATACTGTTCATTGTAAAACTAAAAGTGAAGAAGGCCCATGGGTGGTGAGCCTCCACTCTGTAATACCGGGCAAGTGCTACAGAGGGGAAGCATTTGAGGACTACATGAGGAGAGCGTAAATTGAGGTTTGGGGATTATAAATTCAGGTACGAGAACCTTATAGATAGCATAGTCTTGAGGGTAAAAAAAAATGCAATGCTTAAGAAGCTAGCCATGGAAGCTTCTTGCCTCTTACACAGCCCACTTCCCCAGCCTACATCTGGGCCTTAGCTGCTAAAAAGCTTCTCTGGCAGCAGAGCTGCAAGCCTGAGGAAACATGTTCAGTCATACACATATGTTGGCCCATGTTTCAGATGCAATCTGATGTCAGGTATATTGTTAGAGAAAGAGGAAGAAGGATAAACTGAGCTAGCCCCTGTGATTTAGTACTACTGTAGGACTGGAGGAGCAGATTTTTAGAAGATGATTCACCTTGGAGTAAGCTGGGGACAGTGGTTAGGGAGGAAAAGGAGGAAGACTGAGAAATCTCTGCATTCCCAGAACTCAGCAACCCAGCTCTTGTATGATGAGGAGAGGTAGCTATGCTGATTCATGAACAGGTAGAGGAAAGGAGTTGCAGGTAACCAGCATCTTCAGTCTAGTTATCACCAGATTGGCTAGAATCTTATTAAATGCAACTTGCTGGTTATGACAGAGCGGGCCAGGGTGAGAACTATATGTTCAAGAGAGCAGGATTCTGTAATCCTCTTGCCCTCTCACATCACAAATTCTGATATGCCAAACATTTGGCCCAATGAGAATGACTGATAGACTTGCTGATGTACATGCGAGAGAGTGAGATGTGTATACATTTTTCTCCTGACTGACCATTCAGTGTGCAGGCTGTCATTCAGATTGGATAGGAAAATTTGGTGGGAAAGGAATGGCGAGAGCAGGATCCCTGGACTCCCTGGTTCTCATAGTCCTTAACTGTCACTTGTAATTGTATATAATTTTTGTGTTTCTTGCTCCATTTCCTCATGCTGTCATCCTTAATCTAAAGTCTATGTGGAAATGAAAAAATGCTGAACATCATTACATAATTTATTCAACTGTCCCAGCCGTGTTATACATAGTTGTACATAGATATGTCATGTTATTTTATATATATATATATAATATAATATGATTTATAACACACATGGAATTCATTTATTGGTGTATGGTGCGAGATAGTAATTAAGAGATATAACCCCAATACTCTTATCTTCATCATTTGAAATGCCATTTTATGTATGTTTTCCAGTATACACAGATATGTGTCTTAACCACATTTCTTTATCCATTCATCTGTTGATAGAGACTTAGGTTGTTTCTATGTCTTAACTACTGTGAATTATGCTGCAATGAACATGGGGGTATAGATATTTCTTCGAGATAATGGTTTCATTTCCTTTGGATACATACCCCAAAGTGAGATTTCTGGATGGTATGCTTTTCTATTTTAATTTTTTGAGGAACCTCCATACTGTTTTCCATAATGGCTGTACCAATTTAGATTCCCACTTACAGCATACAAGGGTTCCTTTTCTCTACACCCTCACCGATACTTATCTCTTGACTTTTTGATAATAGCTATCCCAATAGGTGTGAGGTGGTATTTCATTATGGTTTTGAGTTACATTTCTCTCATGACCAGTGATGTTGAGTGCTTTCTTATAACCCGTTGGTTATTTATATGTCTTCTTCAGGAAAACATTTATTCAGATCCTTTGCCCATTTTTAAATCAGGTTATGACATGATTTTCTTTTTTTTTTTTTTTTTTTTTTTTTTTTTTTTTTTTTTTTTTTTTTTTTTTTTTTTTTTTGCTATTGAGTTACATGAATTCCTTATATACTTTAGGTAGTAGCCCTTATCAAATATATGGTTTGCAAATATTTTCTCCTATTCCATAGGTTGCCTTTTCATTTTTAAAATCATCTCCTCTGCTGTACAAAACCTTTTTAGAGTGGTGTAGTTCCACTTGGTTATTTTTGTTTTTGTTGCCTGTGTTTCTGGTGTCTTATCTAAAAAATAATTGCCCATACCAACATCAAGGAGCTTTTTCCCTGTTTTCTTCTTTGAATTTTATGGTTTCATACCTCACATTTAAGCCTTTAATCTATTTTGAGTTAATTTTTGTATATGGTGTAAGCCAAGTGTCTAATTTCATTCTTTTGCTTGTGGATATTCAACTTTCTTAGCATCATTTATTGAATAGACTGTCTTTTCCCCATTGTTTATTCTTGGCACCCTTGTCAAGATTAAGTGCCCCTTCTTGACGTTTGTTTTTACCATACTGCTGGAAGTCCTACCCAGAGCAATTAGGCAAGAAAAAAAAAAGTCATCCAAATTGGAAAGAAGTTAAATTGTCTCTGTTTCCAGGTGAGATGATCTTCTGTGTAGAAAATCCTACAGACTCCACCAAAAAACTGTTGGAACTAATAAATGAATTCAGTAAAGTTGCAGGCTTTAAGATCAGTTGTGTTTCTATGCACTAACAATGAATTATCCATAAAAGAAATAAAGAAAACAATCCCAATTACAATAGCAACAAAAAGAATAAAATGGGAACAAATTTACCAGGGGTGAAATATTTGCACACTGACAACTATGACACTGATGAAAGAAACTGAAAAAGATACAAATAAATGGAAAGACATCTCATGTTCATAAACTGGAAGAATATTGTTAAAATATCCATATTACCCAAAGTGATATAGAGTGTCAATAAAATCTCTATCAAAATTTCAATGACATTTTTCACAGAAATAGGAAAAAGGAATCCTAAAATTGGTATAGAACCATAAAAGACCCAAATAGTCAAAGTAATCTTGAAAAAATGGAACAAAGCTGGAGTTATCACACTGTATGATTTTAAACATGATCTTTTAAGATGAAATTTAAGCAACTCTCCTCTGGGGATATTAAGCAAATCTCTTCTGGGGGCATGTCCTCTGGAAAATTTCTGAGGGAGATGGTCTCCACTTTATACTGGTCAGGGAATAAATCTGCCCTGTAATCTGGAGGCTACATGATTTCTATCTTCCAAGGCTGCTTGCTATTCAAACAACCTTGAGGTGATACCCTGATACCATGAGTATAGAGATGCCATGGAGGATAGCTTCTCAACAAATTCTTTCCACATTTTTGTTTCTGGCAAATTTCCTCATGAAGACACCACCCCATCAGCCACTCTGATTAATCTGACCCATGGGTCCAAATCCATTCCATTTGTTAAATGTTGTAGGAAAAAATGGCAAATGTAGTGGCAGTGGCTCACTCATTATCTCAGCACTTTGGGAGGCCAAGGCAGAAGGATCACTTGAGGCCAGGAGTCCAAAAACAAGCCTGGGCAAGATAGTAGAACCACGTCTCTACACACACACACACACACACACACACACACACACACACACACACACTTCATAAACTGTGAATGCTTTAGATCCCTTATGGCCACCTGACCACCTCTAAGGTCCAAGTTAACGCCTGGCTTTCAAACAAGAAGCACAATCCCCAGGGCACACAAGGTACTCCCCAAAGGGAAGTGTCTGCCGTTGTTGAGCTTCCCTAAGTAAGATATACATTTGTCAGGGGGAAGGTGAACAGTGCCTCCTACATGACTCCTGGCTGGCCGTAAGCCTTGTTTCCAGTTCTGTTCATTGCGTCCAGTCCTTGACGTGTTTGTGTGGGGGGGTGGGGAGGAGGTAGTCGTGTGGGAGGACTGCTTAAGGACAGTCTGTCCAATCTGTCCTCTTTGTCCATGATACCAACCAGGTAACAGTCACCCCCCACCAACAAATGACTGAGAATAGGGGTGGGGACAATGTCTAGCGGGTTCTGCGTGGGACCTCAGAAGCTGGGGCTAGCCCCTGCTGTCTCATGGCTGGTGTAGAGAGGTCGACTCAACATTCTCAGAGACGGGAGCACTGGAGCAGGGTGTTTTCTTTCTGGAGGAAGGGTCCAGGGTAGTTTTGAAAGACAGATATCACCAATGCTCCTGTTTCCTCCATACCTCCTAGGGTTGGAGAAGCCGACTCAGCTTTCTCAGTGGTGAGAGCACTGGAACAGGGTGTTTTCCTTCTGGACAAAGGGTCCAGGGTAAATCTGAAAGACAGATCTCACTAATGCTTCTGTTTTCTCCATACCTCATAGGGTTGGAGGTGCTCTCACCTTAGATGTCTGAATGTTTGCTCTTGCTTCACTGCTACAAAATTTGTTTGTACCATTCCGGTGGCTGTACCTTCATCTTTTTCTGTTAATCATCTCCTTTTCTCACTTAGATCTTCTATCCACAAAATTAGATACAAATAGAGCAAAAGCATTTTCATTAACCATGTCTGGAGTTGAATCTGAATCCCCTGGGCACTCTGAAGTCTGTGCCCACCAGGCTGGTAGGGGAAGGAATGGAGCATCATCCCTAGGAATGGTCACAACAGAATCCTGAATTTTCAAGATAGGTCTACAGAGCACTCGCAATCCCCCACCATCTTTGTCCTGATCACTATCCAGGAAGGAGATGGTCCCTTCGACTGCTCCCTTCAGTGAGCCTACTGCCCTCCCATGGTGTGTGACATTCAAAAAATCAGTGCATCGCGGAGTCAGTTTTCTGATAAATGGCACATCAGACTGCAAATGGGCCAGACGGTCAGATTCATGACACTGATGAGTTTCTGGGGTCACAATAGCATTCCTGGAGTCAGCTGCTCTGCAGCTGAAGGACGGCTGACAGTGCGGAGGCACTGCTGAGATTGTTTAATGAAATTATATAGAAATTATATAACAATTATGTAATTACATAATGAAAACTCTCCACTTCAGAGTTCAGAATATCTCCCAACTTCCAGTAGAGAATATTATCCATAACATCATCAGCTTCAAGGACTATGCCTTCTTTACTGCATATTTCAATTTACACAACAAACACTTGAAAAGGGAACAAGCAACAGTAGCTATCATTCACTCTCAGGCAGCAGCAAGAGTTAATTTTCCATTAAAAATTTTGTTTCCAAGATGATAATCTCTAGTCTCCCAAACCCATGACCCAAGGATCATGCAGAATTAATATAGAACTCTGTACTCAACTTTCTACTAGTACACTGATCATAAAATAGTTTGCCCCATTCCTGTGGACCAAAGTATTAAAAAAAAAATCTTGTATGCTACTGGTATATGAAACTCAGAGAATTATATTTAAACCTCTGCATAATTAACTTCATTCTCTTTGGTTTGAAGGAAAAAAGAAGGGGCATTCCTGGACCAGAATAAAAAGGACAACGCAGAAAAAAATCCAACAGGATGGTAAGCAGGCAGAGTGAAGTAGTTACTGCTTTTGTTTATTAGGGCACTGCCCATTGTATTCTTGAAGGCCTGCAGTTCCTGAGGGCCAGGATAGTTCTGTACCTCCTGTTTCAGTTAGGATGTAGACTAACAGGATGTGACAAAGAGGCCTGAGAATGCAATGGCCTCAACAAAATGGTTTCTCATGCACGTAATAGTCCAGAGGTCCACAGTTAATAGGGAGGTGTTATCATTCTCAGTATGACTTTATTTCTTAGCTCAAGAAATTTTTATTAATTTGGAAAAATCTCCCTAAGAGAGCTAAATGAAGAAAGCAAGGTTTATGTGTACGTGTGTGCAATTGTAAAATATATATGTATATATATGTATTACCGTATTTTATGTGAAATTTATGCTTGTGAAAGTATGTTTTTATGTATCTATCAATCCTTATGCAGGCATATGTAATTATTCATCTGTGTATATAAAGAGATATAGAGATATAGAAAAATCAATGGCAGTTTGTTTATAAAGATACATGCAGCGATTACATTTGACCAGTATAATAGAGGTGATGTTTATATTTTCATTTGTGGTATTTAAATGTAAGTGTGTATATTAAAATTTTTTAAATCTTCAAATTTTTTAATGAAAAAGTTTTCTTTAAAAAATAACATATGCAAAAAGAAAAGCCTAGGAGAATATTTTTGAACAAATCACTATCTGTAGATAACCATCCTCATCTGTGGGCTATCTAAAGATGATGATATTTTAGACCATTTTATTTTCTGAATTTTCCATAATTATATATGTTATTTATTTTAGTCATGGTCTAAGTATTTCCTTTCTCCTAGTCAACGAAGGCTAAGGCTTGTTTTCCAAATGATGCTCAATTTTGAATCAGTGCATCTACGCAGTAAGATTTTAGATTTTAGAGTCCTATTGAAAATTGTTAATTTTCACCAATCTATGTATCTTCTGTTCTAGCCAGTTTAAGTGTCTGCCCGGTTTGTGGATGTACATTTTTGTTTGGAAAGAAAAAAAAGTGGTTGCATCTATTTTAAGATAGGGATTTTGGGCCAGTTGCAGTGGCTTACGCCTGTAATCCCAGCACTTTGGGAGGCTGAGATGGGTGGATCTCTTGAGGTTGGAGTTTGAGATAGCCTCCATGATGAAATCCCATTTCTACTAAAAATACAGAAATTCGCTGCATGTGGTGGTCACCGCCTGTAATCCCAGCTACTGGAGAGGCTGAGGCATGGGAATCACTTGAACCTGGGAGGCAGAGGTTGCAGTGAGTGGAAACTGCCACTGCACCCCAGCCGGGGTGACAGAGCAAGACTCTTGCCTCAAAAAACAAAACAAAACAAAACAAAAACAAGAATGGGTGTTTTCAAATAAAAAATTTATTTGGACTGAGTCATTAAGATATTTTCATTTAAGTCTCTGTGTATATAGACAAATTCTGAGAGACTTCAATGTACAATTAAATCCTGTGTGTAATTTAAAAGTCAACACTCCTGAAAGCAGAAAATGCTCTGGATACCTGCTTGAGGTTCCTTGTTTGAGTGTCTGAAGAAAGGGGATCCAGAATCAAACCCAGGACTCCCTCACTAGCTTTTGGTCCAGCCGATCAACTGTTTTTCTGCCCTGTTCTATTAATACATTTTCCCCTGCCTATCCCCAGATAACGGCAAAGCCGATGGCCAGCTGGTCTCCAGTGAAAAGAAGGCGAAGGCGAATCTGCAAGGCCCTCCCAAGATTAGGGGTAAGATAAAGTTTGTACCACTTTTCATTTGCCCTATGGGTCAATGCAAATGTTGTTGAGATTTTGAGAAGCCTAGATCCGTTATTGTTTACTGGTCAAACTTAGTCAATTTGAGAGCAGTGAAATTTTAAAAAAGCAAACCCATTATAAGCCAGGGTTGTAAGTTGTTTGTATTCATATCAGATCTTATCTTTCCAGGTTCTAAAATTGTTTTCCTCTGTGTTTTATCTGATTTTCCTGGAAATTCCTTTGCCTTAAATCATTGGGTAGTTAAAATGTCTGGACCTGGTAAATTGTGAGCGGAATACCTGTTTATTCTTTCACTGACTGCCCTTTCAAGTCCTCCTCCTAGATGAGTTATTTCCTGTCTTGAGCAAGCCCTATCACTTTCTTCTTCCCTTTTAACAACAATAAGAGTCTCATTTCAGTAGTTGAGGATCCTTTCTGACCAAGTATTAAAATTCCAATGTCCTCCCCAGTTTAAAGTACCTTGCCTCCTTCAGCCTGGGCAAGCCTTAGTCTGGAACATGTATAGTTGGGGGTGAGATGCTTAGTGTCTTCTCTTATTTTCTCTTGGCCCTACCCCTACTCCATAGCTGTTGGCTTGGTCCCATACAGGATTGGGGAGGTGAAAGAGAGGAGTCAGAACAGAGTGTAAAAGTGTCTTGCCTGAAAGGTGCAGCTGTGAAATGACATTGCAAGTGATTGATGCACAATCATTACCTCTTTCTTCCATGAGACACTTTCATCAACTCCACTCCAAGGGAAGGTAAGGAATTAGGCATCACAGCTTGACTTCTTTTGAAGGAAATAGAGCCTTACATCTACAACTTGGATGTGAGTGAATGGCTGAACCTGGCATAATCAGTTCATGGAAACTGAACAACTGGCTTTTGAATGTTGACTGGATAAACAATGAAATGAAGGCAGATATAAAGATGTTCTTCAAAACCAACGAGAATGAAGACACAATGTACCAGAATCTCTGGGACACATTTAAAGCAGTGTCTAGAGGAAAATTTATAGCAATAAATGCCCTCAGGAGAAGCAAAGAAAGATCTAAAATTGACACCCTATTGCCAAAATTGAAAGAGCTAGAGGACCAAGATAAAAAAAAACTCAAAAGCTAGCAGAAGACAAGAAATTACTAAGATCAGAGCAGAACTGAAGGAGATAGAGACACAAAAAAACCCTTCTAAAAAACAATAAATCCAGGATGTATTTATTATTTATTGATTACACTGTGGTCTGAAGGATTGTTTGTTATGATTTCCATTCTTTTGCATTTGCTGAGGAGTGATTTACTTCCAATTATGTGGTCAATTTTAGAGTAGGTGTGATGTGGTGCTGAGAAGATTGTATATTCTGTGGATTTGGAGTTGAGAGTTCTGTAAATGTCTATTAGGTTTGCTTGGTCCAGGTCTGAGTTCAAGTCCTGGATATCCTTGTTAATTTTCTGTCTGGTTGATCTGTCTAATATTGACAGTGGAGTGTTAAAGTCTCCCACTATTATTGTGTGGGAGTCTAAGTCTCATTGCAGGTCATTGAGAACTTGCTTTATGTATCTGGGTGCTCCTGTATTGGGCACATATATATTTAGGATCATTAGCTCTTGTTGCATTGATCCTTTTACCATTATGTAATGCCCTTCTTTGTCTCCTTTGATCTTTGTTTGGTTTAAAGTCTATTTTATCAGAGACTAGGATTGCAAATCCTGGTTTTTTTTGCTCTCCATTTGCTTGGTAAATCTTCCTCCATCCCTTTATTTTGAGCCTATGTGTATCCTTGCATGTGAGATGGGTTTTCTGGATACAGCACACCGATGGGTTTTGACTTTTTATCCAATTTGCCAGTCTGTGTCTTTTGATTGGGGCATTTAGCCCATTTATATTTAAGGCTAATATAGTTATATGTGAATTTGATCCTGCCATTTTGATGCTAGCTGGTTGTTTTGCCCATTAGTTGACGCAGTTTCTTCATTGTGCTGATGCTCTTTACCATTTGGTACGTTTTTGGAGTGGCTGGTGCTGGTTGTTCCTTTCTATGTTTAGTGCTTCTTTCAGGAGTTCTTGTAAAGCAGGCCTGGTGGTTATGAAATCTCTGGGCAATTTCTTGTTCATAAAGGATTTTATTTCTCCTTCGCTTATGAAGCTTAGTTTGGCTGTATATGAAATTCTGGGTTGAAAGTTCTTTTCTTTAAGGATGTTGAATATTGGCCCCCACTCTCTTCTTGCTTGTAGGGTTTCTGCTAATGAAGTTATTTCTTTCTGTTTCTTAGTTTTCCTTCTAACAGTCAGGCCCCCCCTGCTGTAGGACTGCTGGAGGTCCACTCCAGACCCTGCTTGCCTGGGATCACCTGCAGTGGCTGTAGAACAGTAAGGATTGCTGCCAGTTTCTTCTTCTGTTATATCTGTCCCAGAAGGATACCTGCCAGATGTCAGCCTTAGCTCTCCTTTATGACGTGTCTCTTTGGTTATACGGGGATTGGGGAACTGCTTGAGGAGACAGTCTGTCCCTTATAGGAGCTCAAGTGCTGAGCTGTGAGCTCCGTTGTTCTGTTCAGAGCTTCTGGGCATGTATGTTTAAGTCTGCTGCAGTGGAACTCATAACCACCTTTTTTTCCTAGGTGCTCTGTCCCGGGAAGGTGGGGCTTTATTTGTAAGTTTCTGTCATTCTGCTGCCTTTTTTCAGAGATGCCCTGCCCAGTGAGGAGGTAGCCTAGTCACAATCTGCTAGCAGAGGTGTTGCTGAGCCCAGATGCTGTGTGAATTTCCTTGCAGTTTTGTTTATAGGGGTATAGTTAGGACTACCTTGGTAATGGCAGTCTGCCTCAGTAATGGCCGACTGTCTCTGTAATGGCGGACTGCCTCAGTAATGGGAGATTGCCTCAGTAACGGCAGACTGCCTTGGTAGTGGTCCTCAGTCATGGTGGACTGCCTTGGTAATGGTGGACTGCATCGGTAGTGGCGGACTGCCTTCGTAGTGGTGAACTGCCTTGGTAAGGGCGGATGCCCTTCTCCCCACAGAGCTGGACCATCCCAGGTCCAGGTGTGCTTGCTGTGAAACTCTCAGACTGGAGTGTTTCAGACTACTGGTCTTTGTGGGGGTGGGACTGGCTGAGCCAGATCACCTGGCTCCCTGTTTCAGCCCCTTTTTTTCAGTTGAACAGGGGACTCTGTCGCCCAGGCTTTCCAGTCGCCAGTTGAAACAGTGCCCGGATTTGTGTGAGTTTTTGTGTGGAGACCCACTGCGCTGGCTGAAACAGCCACACTGGAGACTCATGGTGCTTTTTCACCTGGGAATCTTCTGGTCTGTGGGCAGTAAAAATTTGTTTGGAAATGTGGTGATCACTCATCCTCTGAGTTTTCACTGAGAACTGCAATCCAGAGCTGTTCCTATTCAGCCATCTTGGATCCCCCTATTGACTGTGATTATATTATTCTACTTTCTCAGGAAGAAAGAGAGGCAAACCTAGAGCCTGCTTCACTCAGAGTGACAGAGATCCACAGAAAAGAGTCCAATCAAGAGGTAAGAAAGAAAAGAGGAATGCAATTTCAATAACTAAACATATAATTTCTTATGCTTTATGCTGCATTTTCAGTAATAAACCTATTTCCTTAATTGTTTTATGGAGCTGTACTAACTATTGAGAAATGTATCCACTTTAGTCATTTTCTGAAATGTGTCAAGCACAGAAGGAAGTAAGTTGATGATGCATCTACAACTGGACCTTAGGGGCCCAGGGGACACTAAAGTGCTACTTCCACTGAAATGATAAATTTCAAGGCTGGAGATAGTCCATTGCTGTATAAAGGGTATAACCCATAAGTTATTTAGCTGATCATCCTTTGGCTATACAGAAAGCCACAGGTTACATACTAAAGGTTAACCAGAGCTGTGGTTAGAGATCTGTGTCCTAAGGCTTTTTGGCTTTTTTTTTCTCTGACAGTGTGGTCTTGTGCTGATCATTTGGCCTTCTTTGACTTGGTTTCCTCATCTGGGAAGCTAGAGGGTGAATTGGGCCAACGACCTTTTTTTTGAGATGAAGTCTTGCTCTGTCACCAGACTGGAGTGCAGTGGTGCAATCTCGGCTCACTGCACCCACCACCTCCCAGGTTCAAGCAATTCTCCTGCCTCAGTCTCCCAAGTAGCTGGGACTACAGGTGTGCACCACCATGCCCAGCTAATTTTTTTTTTTTTTTTTTTTTTTTTTTTTTTTTAGTAGAGACAGGGTTTCTACATGTTGGCCAGGCTGGGCTCAATCTCTTGACCTCCTAATCCGCCCACCTCTGCCTCCCTTATTACTTCATCCCAGTCTAAATAGTCTGCCTTTTTCAAAACCAGTCTCAGGATCAAGGACAGCTCCTGCTGCCCATCATGACCTCTACACCTCTGTTTGGAAGGGCAGGATTCACTGCTCATCCTCCTGTAGTTTCTTTGAAGAACTTTCACACCTACTTCTGTGATATCAGGTCCCCACTTCCCCACCCACTGCCTGGTACAATTTTCATATTATTCTAGAGCTTCCTGAGCTCCTCTCTCAGCTATGGAGAAAGCTGATAGGAGGGAAAAATGGAGCAAAGCAGAGAACAAAAATAGAAGGCAGACACCGTCTCCATTAGGCTATCTCATCTCTCCCTCCTTGACCAGTCAGTGCTCAAATAGGAAGACTGATTATGGTCTTCCACTTCATCTCTGGCTACCTAACTGCAGCAAAACAGCACAGCTGGAGAGCTCCCATCAAACTAATGAAAACAACTGTATGTTTCATTGTCATATAAGAATCAGTGGCGTGAACTACATTGGAAGTTAAAACAGTTTTACTGAAGTCTAATTTCTCTGATAAAGCATTCTATTTTGTATGAAGTTTGAAAGATGAAATTGGGGTATACATTCTGTATTTATGTATCAAAAATGCCACTTGGAAGAAAGACTTTGAAACTCTAGAGATTTTTGGAGTAGAATTTCTTAAACACTCTTTGTGCCTTTATAGGAATTACCTCAGTGGGGAGGGGGGATGTGACTTTGCAAAGTGAGACATAGTGAAGAAATCCTCTTTCAGCTTCAGGAAGGCACGAAGATAAAACTGTGGATTTTAAGGCTCCTTTACTTCTGGTGACCTGTGGTGAGGTGAAGGGGATATTATACAAGGAGAAATTGAAACAAGGTGAGTTTTATTCTTCTTTAATTTTCAGCTCCTCTCTGAAGGCATCACAATTAGTGGGGAAATTATCCATGTGAATTACACATAATTCAAGGAGTTTTTGGCCCCAGGTTGGCTCGAGGGAAGGAGGAAGGGATCCCTAAGATGACATTTTCAGACTTTAAGAAATCGTATCCATCACATCCATTAGATGCTCACTCACACATGGAGTGTCCACGGGGTGACCAAAAACCAAAAAGAAGTGCAGGAACGTCAATTCGCAGATGGAAAATGTCACATATTTTACCTTGAGTCAGACAGAAAAGCAAAGAGGCCCTCAGCCTCGACCTTCATATCTTTCTTCCTTCTGGAGTGCTGTCACCAAAGCAAGGTGCTTGACTTACGGTGACAATCTCAGATTTTAAAATTAGGAAGCCTGAGTTCCAGCCTTGGCTCTACCAGGAGTGACTGTTCCATTCTGAGTAGAGAAGGGGGCCTTTCTGAAACTGAAATTTCTCATCCAAGAGAGGGAAGAATAATTAAACACCTGCCTCATGACATAGCTGTAAGAACTACTTTACATATTAATGTAAGGTATTTTGCGACGAAAAAGTATAAAACTTGCTAATAATGTCTATCAGAATGACTTTCATCTCAGACCTCTCTTTGAGCACCAATTAATACAAACGTTTTCATTGTGATTATTTTTAAATAGCTTTACTGAAATATAGTTCACATATCATACAACTCACCACTTAGAGTATGCCAATCAATAAATTTTTTTGTATTTTCACAGGATTGTACAGCAATATTATCATCTAATTTTAGAACAATTTGTCCCCCCACTAAAGAAAAACCCATGTCAATTAGCAGTCAATGCCCGTTCCCACCTTACTCCAATGCCCAGCCCTGAGCGCTGCTAATCAATTTTCTGTTCTATAAGTTTGCCTATTCTAGACGTTTTCTACAAATGGAATCCTATAATATGTACCCTTTCATGACTGGCTGCTTTTAATGAGTATGGTGCTTTCAAAGTTTATTCATAATGAATGTATTGGTACTTCATTTCTTTTACTGATAAATAATATATTTCATTGTATAGATATACCACATTTTGTTTATCCATTCATCAACTTGGATTATGTTCATTTTTTGGCTGCTATAAATAATGCTATTTTGAACATTCATTTAACAAATTTGGTGTGAACATATTTCAATTCTTTGGAGTGTATATTCAAGAGCAGAATTGCTGAATCAAATAGTAATTCTATTTTTAACTTACTGAGGAAACACCAAAGTGCTTTCCACAGTGGCTGCACTGTTCTATATTCCCACCAGAAATGTATGAAGGCTCCTGTTTCTCTACACACTCACCAACACTTGTTATTGTCTATCTTTTTTATTATGATCATCCTAGTGAGTGTGACGTGGTATCCCATTGTGGTTTTGCTTTGCATTTCCCTAATGGCTGATGGTGTTGAGCATGTGACTATCTTTTATATATAACTTAAATTTTCTATTAGATAACATTTTATAATTATTTTTTAATATCAGCTACCTGTGGTTGCAGAGATGAGAAAATCTCTGTTCAATAATGCCATAAAACTGAATGAAAAATGTGATAGAAGGTGCACGTGTTGCTGGTGTGGTCTTCTGAGCCACAGGGCACCTATCTGAGACTGTACCCCTAAGTGAGGATTCTGCCTTCACATTGCCCCCAGAGCCATCTGCAGACTCAGGCCTGGTCTCTACCCCAGAATTCAACAGCAAATTGGAGTCCTCTTGTCTCTCAGAATCACTTGCTTTTCCTTCTGTAAATGCTTCTGAAACACTTTTAAAAGGTTCCTCTTGATAACGATCACTTTCTTCATGGATGAAGGAGGAAGAAATGTGCACCACCACCAGGAAGTGTCCTTAGAGGGGACTTTCGGGCTGGATTTGGGGCTTCTGAAATCTGAGAGGGAAGGCCAGACCCTCCCGCTGTTGATCTTGAGCACAAATTGTGTGGTTCTAGATTCAGTGTGGTGAGCGGCCACAGTTTAAGCACTGGGAAGAAAGAGGGCTCAGGATCAACTTACCCTGGTCTTACAGGAATCTTGGTGAAGTGTCTACAGACTGAGGATGGAAATTGGTTCACCCCCAGGGAATTTGAAATCAAAGGAGGCCACGCAAGATCAAAGAACTGGAGGCTGAGTGTGCGCTGTGGCGGGTGGCCCCTACAACGGCTGATGAAGGTATTCCAGTGACAAGGGGCCAGACCTGTGCCCTGCTTTGTTGCACCCTAATAATAAGGTCACTATGTATCCAGCAAATAATTGTTGAGTTATAGCTAAAGGTTTGATGCCAGTGAGTTTATCCTCTCACTCAGGTGAGAGGGGCCCCATAACCATAACCACACTCCAGTGCAACCCACTGATGTACCAGGGGCTGTCAGGACAGACGCAGAAACTTGGAGGAGGGAAAGATCATTCTGACTAGGGTGCATGTGGACAATTTTATGTACTGAAAAAAAGAAGAGCGTTGATAGTCAAGCAGTGCAAGATGCTTCAGAGAAAGAATGACCTGAAAACCAGAATAGAATTAAAATAAGAACCATAGCAAAAGTATTAATAGCTCCGTGGATTTAGGTAGGTGGATTGTGTGCAATAAGGCACAATTCAGCAATTGGGACTATTTGTGGAGTGCTTTAATGCCAGGCTAAGTGATTCAAATCTGTAATTGAGATAACAAGGAATCAATGAAATCTTCTGAGATTGGAAATGACACTTAGAACAATATTTTAGACAGTAATGGGGCTTTGAAATGCCTTTACTGTCTCCCCTGCTAACAAACTCAGTCTAGAATGCTCAGCTCAAATGTTACCCTTTTCCCTAAGTATTCACTGACCGAGCCATGGGTCTTCCCTTCCCAGGGCTCCTATGCCCCCTACTAATGCCTTTTTTTCACTGTTTGTGTTTATCCTTCTGTAAGTGCTTTTTGCCTCTAGATCCCTTTAGGTCTCTCTATCTTCAGGTACCCAAGATTGATCTGAGTGACTGACACCCAGTAGCATGCAGTAAGTGTGTGCTGCTTGGATAGCTCTGATATAGGGACTCCAGCTGGAGTGGCACTGGTGGGACTGGAAAAGAGGTGATAGATGGTATGAGATTGTAAGGGAAAACCTCTTAGGACTTAGGAAAGAAGCTCAAGAAAAGGGAAAATCGTCCTGAAGATGATTTTCTGGCTTCTGTTGATTGACGTCTAGAAGCACAGGTGAAGAGAGGGAGATGGTTTCTCATTCAGACACCTTGGGTTGGAGCTGGAAGTGGAACATTCAGGTAGAAATATTTGGAAGGAGGTTGGAAATGCCAGACTCACAAAGCAAAAACACAGGCTGACCATATACCTTGTTTGTTTGTTCTATTTTTCAGGAAGGATTTCTACCTAATCCTCCAAGAATTTATTACAAGAACAAAAAGGTGATTATTACATAATTTTCTACAGCTTCTTGTCACAACTGATTTAACAAGTATGACATCTTATTTTATGAAGCCTCCAATTGCATAATTATAATTAAGCTTTCACCTTCTCCATTACCTACGTTTAATATTTTTTTGATACATGCCTCAGACTTACTACTTTGAATACTACGTCTATCTAAAGCTAGGTCCTCTTTGGATATTAAACCATATCAGATGGAGATGCTGAGAAGTCATCAAAACAGACCTCCCATATGTGTTTTAGCATAGATGCAAATGTTTTAAGAGTGTCAAAGTTGTAAAATCAAACAATGGTCATGGAATACATAAAAATATTTTATAATAAGGTGTGAGTATCATCTCTAACTCAAAAACAGATTTTTTTTTTTGCTTGTGTTACTATTTTCTAACTTTTATGAAATCTGATAGGGCAAATGTTTGCTCATAGTCACTTGAGACATATATGAAACCATATATCATTTTGTGAAATAGGCAACAAAAAGAATCTTTTCTGATGTTTCACATCCTCTTTTGCCTTCCAAAAAAATGTACACACAGGCATGCAGAATTCTTTCTCAACAGGATATTATTTCCCTTTGTCAGGATGGTGCCATTGGGGAGGAAGACCTCCAAAGGTAGATGTATTTTGTAGGAGGGGCTGACCAGGAACGTCTTTTATGTTGATGCCACCTCTTTGGCTCTACCAGAGGTACTGTGGAGACCTGCCTTTTAATCTGTGAAAGTGATTTTTCCTTCTCTTAAAGAAAGCAACAAATAGATAAGTGCAGTGCAGATTCAGGACAAGGTGATAGTTTTTCCAAGACTGAGTATGAATAAGAACCTGAGGGGGTGGGGAGGGGAAAAGGGTCCTCCTTATACACTTTAGGTAGAAAGATTCATCCAAGACATTCACAGACTTCTAAAACAGGTCACACACAGCTCGCCGTTGGGCCTCATATTCCACTGGGAACCTGGGATCCAGGCATTTATATTATCTGATGTTCTGGCTGATTTGAACTCTCAGCCACTGAGACATTTCATCCACTGGGTTTCCTGAAGGATAACTATTGTGTCACCTATTCAGTAAGTACACTAAATACCAGCATCTCTACTTTTCCCCAGGTGCCAAGAGTAACTCAGCCTAGATGAGCCAAATGAACTGACAATTGCCAACTAACTGGCTCTCCTCTTATTCTGGGATACAACACTTAGCAGCAACAAGCTGCAGTTGACTCCATATTTTGTGTCTCCTCGTGGAGAGAACAGGAGGTCGCTTAAGTGGCAGATCTAGGATCCATTACGAACTCCATGGATCCTCTGTGCCTCTCAGAGCTTCTCTTGCTAGAAAAGCCACTTGGCTTCTGGAAACTTCAGTGTCACTATCAGTGCCACATGATAGCATCTCTGCTCAGGCTTATGACAAGGGCCACATAAACCTTTTGTTGGCAGCTGAGGTGTTGTAAAACAATCTGATATACTCACCCGGAATAATTGTGTGCTAATGTTTTCTTAAGAGACTCCAGTTTCTTTTTTTTTTCTTTCTTTTTTTTTTTTGAGATGGAGTTTTGCTCTTGTCATTCAGGTTCGAGTACAGTGGCACCATCTCGGCTCACTGCAAGCTCTGCCTCCAGGGTTCAAGAGATTGTCCTGCCTCAGCCTCCCTAGTAGCTGGGATTACAGGTGCCCATCACCACACCTGGCTAATTTTTTGTCTTTTTAATAGAGACGGGGTTTCACAACATTGGGCAGGCTGGTCTCAAACTCCTGAAACAATATTCATTTATTCACCCATTCAACATATACTTACCAAGCACATGCTAAATTCCAATGGCCATTACAGAAGATTGATCTCAAAAATCATTTCAGGCCAGGCACGATGACTTGAACCTATAATGCCAGCATTTTGAAAGGCTGACTTGAGCTCAGAAATTTGATACCAACCTGGACAACAGTGTGAGATATCACCTCTACCAAAAAAAAAAAAAAAATTACCGAGGCATTGTGGTCACATCTATAGTCCCACCTACTCAGGAGGCTGAGGTGGGAGGATCACTTGAGCCTGGGAGGTCAAGGCTGTAGGGAGCTATGATTTCATCATAACACTCCAGCCTGGGTGACAGAGTGAACCCCTGCAAAAAAAAATTAAATAAATAAATAAAAGGTTGTTTCATATTGTAAACATAGATGAATTACAAATTGGTGGGGGTGGGAGAGTCTTGGCTAATCAGAGAAGCAGTGAGTGACAAGGTTATCTCTCAGATGCTTGTCTTTGGATCACACTTGTTTATGGCCTCTGTGCCCTGGGCTAGAGACAAAAGCTGTGGCTGCCTGTATCCCAGAAGGGAAGGATGCCAAGTCATGCA